CATAAATTGCTTCTATAAAAACTACTTATATAACTGACTTATCATAAGCTTCAACAATACCAAACTAGTTCTATTGTTTAGGTTTAAGTAAAAAAGTAAGTAAATTAATTAATTAATTAATTAATTTAAATGACCAGTTATTTTTCCCCTGCGGGTTGCCGCTTAAGTTTTGAAACACAAACCTAAACCCGATCCCGGACAGCCCGATGTATCACCCGAAACCGACCTCCGAACTCGAAGCTTAATCTGATCGCGCGCGGTCCGAGCCTCAATCAGCAGCAGCTGGCCAAATTGAGGCCAAAGGCGGCGCGCGCATCTATTCGAACTCACCGCGCCTCCCTCCTTTCCCTCCTTCCGTGACCTAAAAAATTCACATCTACGCTCCAAAATCCCCCCACTCCCCAAATACTCCAAATCCGCCATCACCCCGCTCGATTCCCCGATCTAAAATCTCAAACCCCCCCGCCCAGAATTTTCCTTTCACCCTCTTTCCCCTCTTCGAAACCCTACGCCATCCCCCTCTTAAAATCGCCCTCTCCTGCGATCATGTCTGGCGTCGACGGGTCCCACCTCCGCCTCCAGCGGCGGCCGGTCGCCACGCCCCCGGCCACTCAGATCCTCCGCCCCGTCCACAACGACGCCCTGCTGCCCGATGCCCCAACCGCCGCCGCCAGGCCCGCCTCTACGCGCGCTTTCAGGCTCGATCCCTGCTGCCTGATCCCGACAAGCCCAAGGAACCGCAGGTAACTGATCTCTCGTCTCCAATCTCGATTCGGATTGTAGCGTGATTGGGATTTAGTTGTGTTTAAGTGTTCGGAATCTGGTATTAGCGAGGAATAAAGCTGAGATTTTAGGGAGGGTTAGGGGGGGAATCTAGGTTGATTTTGGTTTCCTTTGATGCGCGTGATCCTGATTGCTAATTTTTTTTAAAAAAAAAAATTAAATTTGGAGCTGATTTCAGGAGGAGGAGTGAACCGGAATGTAGATTGACTTTCTAGGTCAGAGTTGGGTTTCAGGTTTAGTGCATTGCAACCGGGATTGCTTGTTCAATCTTTGATCTTATTGCAATTCTTCAAGTTCTTGCCGTCAATGGTCTATGTCGATTTGATTAACTGAAAATCGCTGCATTTGTCACTCACCCGTAAATTGTATTACTGTCTTCAGCATCACTATGATTTAGCCGTCACGTCCATATGTATATCCTGGATTTCTGAGTATCGTTTTAGCGGCGACATTAAGGCAAAAGGAAAAGGTAATACGATGTTTTTATGGGAATTCTAGGCCTGAAGCTGGAATTTTCATTTTTAGTCTCAAGTACGAGAGAGCTTATAAAGACTGATCTTCAATCCTGTGCTGAAACCTTAGTATTTATTTCCTTGGATGATTAACGCTCTTTGTGGTGCGATGACCTGGTCCTATTGCAATCCTCTCCATGCGACAAATATGACGTAAGAGATGTTCCCAGGGCCTTGAACATTGGAAAAGTATTGACCCTGAGATGTTTGAAATGATAAGAAAATAAACTTTTTGACTATGCTTATTGTTGAAATAAACTTGACACCGGCCAGTGATTCTATCAAACTACAATTGGAAATGAAAATGATGGAACTTATAATGGGTTGGGTTGTTTTTGTTATTACAGAAGGAGAATAGACCCAATTAGGAGTTGATTATGAATTCCTGTTTTTTTTGAGAAGTGGCTTGAAGACTTGATGTGCCATATTTTGAAAACTCTAGCAAACCAATTTATTAAATAAGTCACTCAGTTGTTGGGGATGGTAAAGTAAGATTTTGGAGAGGTAAAAGTCGCAAGTTGTTGGTCAACTTTAGAGTATGCCAGTTCTTTTTCCTTAAATGATTTAATGAACATATGTTAACTCGCTCTTTCTGAAATTTGATGAGGGAATATGCACTGGGTTATCATCTGCTAATAAATGAAAATGTGTCTGTGGATTTGGACTGTCTGTACCCATGTAGCATACCCGAGCCTGACATTGTTCCTCTAGAATGTTAACATATGATGATTCTACGAAGCTAGCACAACGGATTCAGTCAAGGGGTCTTGATCAGTAAAAGAAAGGCTATTTCCATCAAGCGGCTCTATTGGAACTTAGAGACTTATATGCTCTCAGATGTTCATAAAATCATGGTCACAGTTCTCATGCTGGAAGAAACACGTGAAATTAGTGCTCTCATGGGTTCAGGCTATTTGGAAACATGATATTATGGATTTATGTTAGAGAAGGGTATACTTATTTTACATTCTTAAAGCCTACCAATTAATAAAAGTGGGTATATGGTCGTTTACTAAAACGAAGAGGTGAGCAAAAGAGTAGGAATACACCCTTCACGGGATAGAATCATTGAAAATCGTGAAAAAGAGTTGAGTGAAATGGAGAGGGAAAGGAAGAGAGGTTTCTGCCGCAAAATCATTCACAAGTTTAATATTTTAGTGTGCGTCTCGAGTAACCTGGACAATCAATCTTTGCTCTCTTCTTACATATCATAAGAGCAGAGATGAATGCTTTCTAAAGCAGAAATGTGACAGTTAATTTTTGAATCTGAAAGATTTGGACTTACGAGGACAAAGGAAGGAGAACATAGGATATAGTCTTAAGAAAGAAACAAGGTCTGATTCACATCAATGGTTACGAAATGTACATGAGTAATCATTTTATTTATTTTGGACTAATGACTCGTCATAATTGTCAAAATTAGAGAGAAACTTGAGTAGGTAGGAAGCATAAACTTAAAGTGGAGGAGTGCCTTTAGGTATGATATGACTGTCAAATACTGAGGCAACTGAAGGTGAGAAATTATTAATGGCTTAAGATTGACCATGCTTCAATCCTGTGTTGGTAAACTAAGAAATTGTGCAAAATAAGTGTGTAGCTGAAATGAGAATGTTGAGACGGATCTGCAATAGCATAGTAGATATAATTGACAGAGAGGACAAGAATGGTCAAAAGTATAAGAAGCTATAAGAAGTTCTCTTTCAGGATAAATAAAACAATGACTGAGAAGATCAGGACACATGCACAAGGCAAATGCGCAAATCAATATTGCACATCAAATGGACATGGTCAAACATAGTCATAGGAGTGGAGAGGACTAGGAGCAAATGAAAATGTGCATGTGTCAGACCATAGAAAAGGTATTCAAAATAGTAATCGAATGAAGGCTGGGAAGTAGTTGAAGGGTGCAGATAGAACTAGGAGCTGACCGAAATTAACATGGATCAAGGCTATCAGAGAAGATAAATAACAGAGTGATCCTTCACAAAGCTGAACGGGGAAAAAGTTTTAACGTAGCTGATCTCAGAGCTGGAGAAATAGGCTGTTGTTGTATGCATACGAGTTTGTCTCTTAACCCTTTTCTTGTGTCATTGATTGTTTATGATAGCGGTAATGGATACCAAAAATGATGCGAAACGAAACAGGGGGTCTATCAGAATCAGCGATTTAATTTGAACAACGCACCGTTTCGCCAAAAATCATGATATTCGGTAGGAAATTAATTCGAAACAGTTAATATGACAGATGGATTTAAACAAGATTTGCATGATAATCATAAACAATTCCAATCTCAAATAATTTAATGACAGTATTCATTATCATTTCTTAAAGTTCTAAAATCAATATTAAACTTTAACAGGCACATGTTCAGTTCCTCTCAACTCACAAGTATAATTTAAACAGTGAAATATATGATAATAATTTAGAGATGAACTAATCATGCAATTAACTAATAAAGTGAGATTAACAGAAAAATAGTTTGAAAGATAAATAAGGCATCAGAAGACTAACTAATGAGGCGAATTCGAATCGGGCTCGAACTGGGTTCCAAACGTATCTGAACAAGTGTGAGTTGGAACCGAGCTAGGAATCATGTTCAACTAACCCGGTTCGGTCTGAACAAAACAAACCAGACCCAAATTAAATAGGGTCGGGTCTGCTTCAAAGCAGCTCAGATCCGAATGATCTCCTCAACGCTTCTTCGATCTGAAATAGGGTGAGTTGTCAGAGGAAGCTGAAGACGGTGGCAGATTGTTCGACGGTGGATTGAGGGCGGCGAAAGAACAACGCGGGCGTCGTGACGGCGTGGACGACTGACGACACGAGCGGACGGCGGGACGACGTGGGCGAGGCTGTTTAGAGGTGGCAGAGAGCAGAGATTTCACGACGAGTGGGAGAGATCTTGACGGGGTCGTGATTGCAGAGCCGACGGCGACGAGGGCAGCGAGAGATTTGACGACGACGAGGACGACGGAGGACGCGGCGACTTGTTAGGAAGCTCAAGTTCGGGATTGGCGGCTCGCAAGAGAAGAGAAGAAACACAGAATAGTGGCCTAGGGTTTCACACTCGGTGGTTTCACACCAACCATTTCAGCCAACTATATTTTGTTTTCATTTCTTCATTATCCTTTCAATTGATTACAAGAGTGTTTTAAATAAAAAAGAAAATACATAATCCCTCAAATCTCTCATAATCACTCAAATCTCTCATAATCAATCACTCAAATCTCTCAGTTATTAAAACTTATTAACTACCAAATTTAAACCACAATTTAAAATTCAAAATTCAAATCTAAACTGAAATAACTACTAAAATAAAAATCAAAAGAAAGTAAATAGCAAATATGGAAACTGTCGTTCTTGTCCCCATCATTCTCGCCGGGTGGGAAAAAACTCGACTCCGTCGAGTTAACTGTAGAAACTTGTCATCTTCAATATACTCAGTCTGCATCTTAATCTACCGTCAGTTGTTTTTCTGCGTCTCAAATCATTAGTTAAGTTACATTGTAAACTCACCATCTAAAATATTATCAAAATTCACTGTAACTTGGGTGAATATATAGAAGTGGGGTCAGACTTATATCAGTGGACTGTCAATAACATTATGAACTGTTTAATCAATCAATATTAAGAATAGAACAATGACCAAATAGATAATATAAATGTTGCCATTAATTATTTCAAGAGTTGAAAAAGTTCATAAATATCATGTCAAATCTTAAACAGTTATAAAGAAACTGTTTTGGACATGTCCAAACCATCTTAAATATCATCATTAATAGTTTTAAAATTATGTTTTGACTCCATATCATTCATTTCAGTTAACGTGTATTTATTCAAATTACATTACTGATTCCCTAATATATGACCAATGCAATTCAAAATGATGTGAATTAATTCAAATGATTACGCACGAAATGCAGACTTGAACAATGCAATCAATGACAGATGTAACTCAATGAAGTGTTTAAAATGCATGACGTCCTCTATCAAATGGAATAATTAGGTATTCCGTCGTTAATATGTATAACAAATTTCCTATTTTTACAGTGATAAGGAGGAACGTGCAAACACATGCATGAAGGAGTGTTTTTGAGTGTTTAGTATGAAGGAGAAAGGAAATAAAAATACTCGTGCTCAAACTTGTATCCTAATCACTATAGATTCCCAAAAAAGATCAGTGTATGTGTGAGTGACTATCGGAACAATGCATGGGGATGTGATATCTAATATGATAGCTGTTTCACTATGCTCAGTTTGGGTTTCAACTTCTATACAGATATCCGAGTGAACCGAATTAAGAACTAAATCAGGAACGTGTTGGGTGTCATGTTTGTCAGGGAGGACTTTGTGGGGAATATCAACAACGTTTTCAATCACTGGAGTTGGTTTGGGAGGAGTTGGGGTTTAAATTTCAAAAAAAACTTCAAAGATAACATTAGTGGGCTCCGTGATCAGAGGGGTAGTTTCAGAAGAAATGGGAATGCATGGTTTGTCAATTTTAGTATTCTAGAATTTCTTATCAGAGTTAGATTCTATCAAATCTATGGCCTAGTTAACGGTTTCCCCAATAATAGATTTTGATTCCGTTATAGGCGGCTTATTAATTCTAACTCTGAATGGTGTTGTACAGACGGATGCAACGTGCCCATATCATTGACAATTGCAACACTGAATTATTGGTCTAAGTTTGGAGAGAGATCTCTCTGACTTCTGGCCCTTGGAATTGACTCTAGACTGGGAAGAACTAGTGTTAGATCGACTCGGAGGCTGACTAGAGGTATTGGCCCGGGAAAACTGGGAGGAATGAGTTTGAAAATACCGAGCCCTGTGAGATTTGTGTAATTTGGCTTTATCTAAATCTTGAACTAAGGCGTAAGCTCTCTCAAGGGTGTTTACTCCTCTAGCAAAGAGTTCGGTTTGGAGGTCGCTTCTTAATCTAACTATAAATTTTGATAAGACTTTCATCGGTGCCTCTGGTTCAATGGTGCTGCATCGAGTAAATAATTCATCAAATTGAACAACGTACTCTTTTGCAGATTTGGTTCCCTGAGTAAGACAATGCCACTTATCTAGAACTCTATGAATAAACGATGGCGGGATGTATTTTCGTTTTAGTTCGTCGGCCATTTCTCGCCAAGTAAAAATTGGTAACTCACATCTAATATGCCTTATCATTTCGAAGTTGGACCAATATTGGCAGGCGGGTCCAGTGAGTTTTATTGTGACAAACTTGATTTTTTGGGATTCTGTCAGGGCGTACCAATTGAAGTAGCGATCCATGCTCTTCAGCCAGTTAAAGAAAGTTTGTGGATCGAGCTTACCATCAAAGGTTGGTGGATCAGACACAAGTTGAGGCGGAGGTCGATGAACGATGTACCCATGACCTTGCGGTGGATATCCATACCCTTGACCTCGTGGCGGAGTTGTAACCCGCGTTTCTTCTAACCTAGCACGTCTCTCGTTGGTGTTATTCAGGGTCTCACGGGTAGCTCTACTCTCATGTGTTAAGTTACTTATTTGCCCGTTTAACTCAGCGATTTGCTTAAGTAGTTCGGAGAATTCGGGATTTGTATTGCCTGACATGCTTGACTCACTAGTTGACTCACTTGACTCTCCTAAATTGATAGGGTAGACCTGTGCGAGTGGGCATGCACTAACAACTAGATGAGATGAATGGTGTGCACAAACAGCTAAATGAGATGAATGCGATTTTTTTAATATCAAATAAATGACTCAACTAATCTAAAAAAAAATTCTACCCTAGAACAATGCAAAAAATTCCTACCCTAGAACCATGCTCTGATACCAAAAATGATGCGAAACGAAACAGGGGGTCTATCAGAATCAGCGATTTAATTTGAACAACGCACCGTTTCGCCAAAAATCATGATATTCGGTAAGAAATTAATTCGAAACAATTAATATGACAGATGGATTTAAACAAGATTTGCACGATAATCATAAACAATTCCAATCTCAAATAATTTAATGACAGTATTCATTATCATTTCGCAAAGTTCTAAAATCAATATTAAACTTTAACAGTCACATGTTCAGTTCCTCTCAACTCACAAGTATAATTTAAACAGTGAAATATATGATAAGAATTTAGAGATGAACTAATCATGCAATTAACTAATAAAGTGAGATTAACAGAAAAATAGTTTGAAAGATAAATAAGGCATCAGAAGACTAACAAATGAGGCGAATTCGATTACAATAGTTTGAAAGATAAATAAGGCATCAGAAACACAGAATAGTGGCCTAGGGTTACACACCCGGTGGTTTCACACCAACCATTTCAGCCAACAATATTTTGTTTTCATTTCTTCATTATCCTTTCAATTGATTACATGAGTGTTTTAAATAAAAAAGAAAATACATAATCCCTTAAATCTCTCATAATCACTCAAATCTCTCATAATCAATCACTCAAATCTCTCAGTTACTAAAACTTATTAACTACCAAATTTAAACCACAATTTAAAATTCAAAATTCAAATCTAAACTGAAATAACTACTAAAATAAAAATCAAAAGAAAGTAAATAGCAAATATGGAAACTGTCGTTCTTGTCCCCATCAGGTAATCCACACAAGTAAGTATAAAGGAGAGTCAAGTATAAAGGAGAGTCACAAGGACTTGAATTATTTTTTATTCTCCTTGCTTTTGGACTATTTGGAAGGAGGACTGCATTTTTGACTAGGCAAGACTAAAATTGCCTACAGTTAAAGTTGTATGCCTTGACAAAAGTATCTTTTTTTTAGTGGAGACAAAAGTAACTTTTTCATCATAATGTTTTCCAGTACTCTGATAGTTCGAACAGATTTCTGTAGCCCTATTTTTGCTGCAACATTGCATTTGTGATGCACATCTGAGATGCTTATGAAAGATCCAGTGCTTTATTGGGATAATGTCTATTCAATATTCTGTATAATATAATGCTAGTATCCAGTGGCCACGAATAACTATGGCATTTCCATGAAACAGATACAGGATCAGACTTGACTTGCCCAGATTGCTGCAGTGCAGCTTGACAATGTCATCATTATTCTCAATGAAGCGTTCTAACTTCTAATTGATGGCAAGGAGAGGGAATTATTATTATTATTATTATTATTATTATTATTATTACTATATTTGCGTCACTATTGTCCAATATCGTAGCTATCAACAAAAAATATGCATGAATATAGTGCAACACCCTATTCTTAGATATAGTTACTCAAATTTCCCCTATGTTTTGTATTCATATTGACTCAGTCTTAGTTAATACTCCTAAGTAACAAATGCTCATGATCGTGGTTCATGTTCTGTTTTTTGGATGCTACTGACAATTTGTTAATTAAATGTCTGTGTTAAGGAGAAGTTCTCCATTCTGGACCATTTAATTCCTGCAAAGGAAGCCCCAAAATATTTATCCCTGTTTTTCTCTGTTAGACCATCCTAACACCTTTCGAGTTTGCTTCTTTTTCTACATTTGTTGTTCAATCTGTTTCATTTTCATCTGTTCAAGTTATTTGACTAGCTGAATTTTTCTCTGTTTCATTTTCATCTGTTCAAGTTCTTTGACTAGCTGAATTTTTCTCTGTTTCATTTTCATCTGTTCAAGTTCTTTGACTAGCTGAATTTTTCTGACACTATATTGTTATGAATTGATCTTTTTTTTTTCTTCTCTATTTTGGTGAATGAAAATTTGGGCTGTTAGTTACAAGTATTAAATACACAGGTCTTTTTGCAGTTAAAACCGACAGTGAAAACAGAAGGTCATAAAATTAAGAGTGAGCAAGGGACAACTGAACAAGGGCGCAAGAAAGAAATCAGACCTCATGTTTCTCCAACTTTGCCTGCTGCCAGTGGTAAACAGAAAATCCGAAAGCAGAAAAATAAAAGACTCCTGCCACAGATGCCTGTCTCAGTTGATGGTAAATTATACTGAATTGGAGGTCTAAACATTATTGCATTACATGATGAGCTCATTTGAAATGCAATGATATCTTTAGTTTAATCAAGCTTGTCTACAGAAGTAGATAAACAACTTCTCTGTTCTATGAAATAAACCAAATCAATGCTTGATGAGTGCTGCTTATTTTCAGGTGTTCCAGATCCCTTGGGTTCCAGCTGTCGTTATGATAGTTCTCTAAGTAAGCTGATACCAACATATGGGCACACTTTCTGTAGCCTCTGGTCCATAACTTTTTTACATACAGTAATATGTATATATCCTCTGAACATATGTCGTGGCAGGCTTGTTGACAAAGAAATTTGTTAATCTGCTTCAAAGACAAGAGGATGGAACACTGGATTTAAACAGAGCAGCTGAGCTTTTGGAAGTATGTTCTCGCCGCCTTATATGATGTTTATCACTGTCCAATTTCATAAGTTAGGATGTTCTTGTACGTCTTACACCAGTAATATCATATTTTATATATTTTCTAATCGTAACAGGTGCAAAAGAGGAGGATATATGATATAACCAATGTTCTTGAAGGAGTAGGACTAATGGAAAAGAACCTGAAGAACAGGATAAGTTGGAAGTAAGTGCTAAACACTTATTGTTTTGCTTTCTTACTCTAATTTTTAAAAGTAAAAAGTAATGATGCATCTGTATGAAAAGGGGTGATGAAGTGTTTGGATCTATGGAGCTTGACAACCAAATTGCTGAATTGAAGGTAGGACAGCATTGTTAAATTTATTCTTTACATCTTCATTGCTCATATGTTCTTCTTTGATATTATGAACTGTCCCGATGAAGCTCGGCCTTACTGTATAGGATGCATCATTACATTAGTGATACTTCTAAGTTGGGGTATCTGAAGAACATATATTTTCTAACTGATCTGGTTTAGTGCTAAGTGCATAATTGTTTGCTTTTTTACGTTTTGCATACTGCTTAATTTCCATACTAATACCCAGCTGCATTTCCTTCATATCCTGTGGTCTTGTATGTTACATTCATTTTTGCTATTTGCACTTTGGAGAAGCTGAAAAGTGTATATTGAAGTGTAAGTGGAAATATATACTAATATGCGTCTAAGTACAGTTTAGTATTCTTGAGAGTATGCGTGCTCAATTGTCACAAAAGTCCTTGATAGTTGGCTGATTGAATGTAGCAACTTTTGCTGTCTTGTTTCATAATAAAGTTTACCTCCATATAGGAATGGTTTTTGATATACATAATGAGTTTGGTGATTATTTTGGCGGCATAACTTGAATAGCTGATGGATTAATATGCAAGTTTCCTCCATGTACTTTCATCATGGTTGAGTTTTTTGCGCTTTGAAACCCTAATATTTTCTATATATTTTTTCTGGGATATGTGTATTCAGTCTCCACAAAACTTCTCATGAGCAATAACTAAACAGAACTGAAACCTTTCACATCTGTCATGTTTCAGTCAAAACTTGTACTAAATTATAAATGGAAGTACTTGAAGATAACCTAAATAAGGAATTTCTCCCGGCAGCATAGAAGCGAAGTAGACGCAGCCTAAGTTGCATTTGTACAGGTACGGGTGTGTGACATGAGTGTTGTGTTATATATATATATATATATATATATATATATATATTAATATATTATATATATATATATATTATATATATATTATATATATATAATATATATATTAAATATATATATATATATATAAATATATATTTATATATATATATTATATATATATATATTATATATATATTTATTTATATATATATATTTTATATATATTATATATATATATATTTATTTATTTATATATAATAAGTTAATATTATATATATATTATATATATATATATATATATATTATATATATATATATATATATATTATATATATATATATAAAAATAAAGTTAAAATTTACATAAGATCAATATTGTTCTTTCATTTACATTAGATCAGTATATAAGAAATAGATGTGAAGTATAGGATATACGCCCAAGAAGTGTATGATGAACGTTTTAAATTAAAATAATTATTATATAATTGAGTAAACATTTGCATATATTCAAGAAGCATCCAAGAAGTTCTGTATGGTTATGGGTATGTGTACGTGTCAGGTACAAGTATGACTTCCGATAGAAATACCCAGGTAACATAGAATGCAGCAAACAAAAATACTTCCTGTTGGCGAGTCCCATATGGTGCCCCTATAAGGTTGTCAATTCTTCTGGGACCACCTCTGTTAGAAGCACCTTCAGAAAGTGATGTCTCGTCTCACACAGCAGGGGGCGCTCTCAACTTAAGGGCTGATAGAAACTTTTGGAGAGTTCAGTTGCCATATGTCTTTTTTCTTGCTTGTAAAGCATCTAATGTTTCCATGTAATTCATATGCACCTGCATGACAACTGCCGCATATCCAATTACCTGGCCCTTTTCTCCCTTCTCTCTAATCAGTCTGTAGATTCACAACTGAGTGGGGATGTCAGGTCTTCCCTCCTCTTGCAGTGAATTTGGAACAAATAATCTGAATTTTCCATCTTTTTTTTAATGCTGCAGGTTCTCTCTTATAAGTAATTTGCTCAATGCTCTTCTGCTCTTCATCATTAACAAGTTGCACTATAATTTTCCAAACACTTTCCTAGGGCCTCCCAAATGCTACAATCTTTATTCTTGTTTTGATCTCTGACCTGGAAATCAATGTAAGAAATTGCTTGGTTCCTAACTGGCTGGACTATCCAGCTTAGCTTTACCCTGGCCGTCATTTTTTTCCTTCCGTTTCTTTTTGTGATTAAAGCCTGGACTTGAACTTGGGATTTGTCACAGTCCAACCCATCATTTAACACTGAGCCAAGCCTCAGTTTTCTGCCAACTAGTTTTCACAACTTCATTTTCACTTGCAAATTCATACACGTTGAAACTTGGAATTTAGTTTGCGCACCAGTTTTTCTGTGCACCACATAGGTATCTGACTGTACCCTGCATCCTTTGATCTACTTCCGCACAAACACACACATACAAACTTTATAATGCTCCACAAAAGATTTTGATATTTCTTTATTTACAAATGAGAGTATATCCTATCTCGTTTATGTTAATAATATCTAATCTACCACTCTGTTTATCTTCCTACTTTAGATCTGAATCACCATACAAGTGAATGCTATTTTGTTAACACTTAACACCCGGTTATTAAAAGTATGGACGGTAGCTTTTTTGTGAACTTTGTATGTACTAATTGGAACATATTTACTGGCATTCTTAAATGGGAGCATGAATCATGCTGCTTCCTCCTTCATCTCTGTGAGAGGGCAGCTCTTCTTTCTGTTCTACATCTCTCTAAAATTGCTATATTTAATGCTTCACATTAACGACTGCAAGAGTACGGTGAAAGTTCTGAGATTAGAGAGAAAAATAGATGTTGGAGATACGAGTGCTGTGTCTAGCACTATCTTATGTATACATATATTTAATGATTTAGTGTGTATGATTCTTCATACCAATCTACCATGGTTATTCTGCTTCTTATAATACAACATTTGACATGTGTACAATGTATAATGGTGTCTTTCTAAATGTCTTACAGGCTGCAAATGAATCTCTGTTTAAGGAAGAGTGCAGAATTGATAAAATGATAAGGTGAGTTCTTAAAGTTTATCTCAGCTTTGATGTGACCCTTAATCTGACACTGGTTACTTTTGCAGGGAGATGGAAGAAAATTTGAGAGTTTTGAAGGAAAGGGATTTGAAGTAAGTCATTTCTGAAATGCTTCTCTTTGCGTCATAGTTATTCTACATTATTGTTATTTATATTTGTCTATATTAATGTCCATTAATTTCATTAGGTATCTCTACCTCACTAAGGAAGATATCAATAGCCTTCCATGTTTTCAGGTTTGACTTCCATGGATCCTTCTGATTTACCCTCACATTTTAGCTAATATTTTTGAAATATTCTCAGACATCTTACTTTGTTTTTCAGAATTCCACATTAATGGCAATAAAAGCTCCTCATGGAACTAGTATCGAGGTTCCAGATCCTGATGAGGTGTGCAAGAGAGAGCTGAACAAATTGAGATGTTGATGATTATGGTAGATTTACTTACTGATGGGTTACTTTTATGTGTAGGGTCTTGGTTTCTCACAGAGGCGATACCAGGTCTTTTTGAGAACCTCAATGGGTCCCATCAATTGCTTCCTGATCAGGTATCTGCTTGGCTGCCGCATGAGATAATTAAATTATTGGTAAATGATATTATGAGGTGCAAGTTCAAGTTAACCACTGCAAGATGCATCTCAACTTAATGTGTGACATTAGACTATAATATGGTATCTGATACATGCAGTTTTAAAGAAAAGATTCCACCTGAGAATAGTTAATTAGAAAGAAATAATGATCTCACAAAGTTCTTAGTGTGTAGATCTTACTATAAGGGGAACTTCAGTGAACATTTTTCATCTGAATTTCTGCGTCCTTAATGCAAATATTTTGCTGCTCTAATGTTACAGCAGTAATGAAGAGAAACCTCAGGCTTCAAACGAAGGGCATCAACTGGTACCCATGGATTGTTCTTTTGATAATAATCATAATAACAGGGATGAAGGACCCACTATGCATCCATCAGACCAAGCTACTGCGACAACATCAGCCCCCATGCAAGAGGCCGATACTCAGAAAATATCTTCAGATCCTTTGATTTATGACGAACAAGTAGGTGGCATAGTGAAGATTGTTCCACCTGATGTCAATGTAAGTATCTAAAATACACTGAATGATGGAAATTTTCAATCTAGAAAGCTCGAGGGAGCTTGTGTATAGGTTATCACATCTTTTGGTAACTTGCAGGTAGATGCTGACTATTGGTTTGAGACAGATCAACAAGGTAGCCTCACGGATATGTGGAATGAGTGTATCCTTTTCTAAGAGAATTTTCCTGTACTATCTGCCACCACGCTGTAAAAGGCTTGGATTTTTCAGAGGCTGATCTTGGCAAAGCCACTATAACTTGAAGAGGTTGCTACTTGTATCAATAGAAAACTTCTTTAGAGGGTAAATTTCACAAAACCACCAGGAAGGTTGGCCCAATTTGAAATAACCCCAAAAGTATGGAAATATTACTCAACCCCTAAACTTTTGCATTTTTCTGAATCTATTTTGAAATAACCCCCAATTTTTTGGGGGTTATCTGAAAAGGTTTTGGGGGTTAAGCCGAATTTCCAAACAATTTTTTAAATATTTTGTTGGGGGCAGGTGGGGCTGTCAAATTTACCCTTTAAATGCCAAAAATAACTTGCAAATTCCTTTACCCCAATGAAATCCAGAATGACAGGAGAAGATGGAGTACATTCCATGATCATGATGAAAATTTACCAGCAGGATTCTCCAAAATGAGAATGGATTATGCGCTAATGGGCTTGCTCGGCTGAATGCCTGCTTGAAGGGAAGAAGCTTTAATCCCTTCACCTGTAAAGAATATAGAAGGTGGCACCACATTAGGCAAGAGTAGCTGGGGTTGGAATCTTTTCATTTCCTCCCTGACCTGAGATATGTAAATCTGTAAATATTGATGATAGTCTGCATTATTAATAATATAGCCACAAAGTATAAGGGCTCAAGTTTAGGCTATTAAACAATTACTAACTTAATTTTCTTGTGCAATTGTTTATTGTTGAGAAAAATCTGTGTACTTGTACCCATGTTCTGATCATCCCCGAGGATCATATATAGGGGAATGAGATTCGTGGAGAGAAATGTCGAATGTTGGTTATTTCTGTGCTGGCAATCTTGTTCAACTCTTCTCTGTTACCTAAAGCTGCAGTTAAGATCTTACCAAGCATCAGTCACAATTTGAATCAAATAGAAGCATTACAGTGATGCCCTGCTGCAAAACTTGTGTGTAGTGCAATATTTTGATATAGATGGTCGATTTTGCAATCAGATGTAAGGACATTTGATACTCAAGTATTGACCCGAAAGGGTAGAAGAATTGCTATGTAAGCAAAATGCATCCTTGCGTGTAATGATGATGAGATAGAATCTCATTATCAATGATTCAGTATGAAACAGACCCATCGACAGGCGAATACATTTTCCTGTAAACAATTTTTATGGCGGAATAATTTTTGTTCGTTTTGAATGCTCAATTTTTTTTCGTTTATTCTTACGTACTTTGCAAATCGGTGGTTTGAAGTAACTTCAGAATGACCAAGGGGTTTATTTTCGGATTTAGTTACAACGTACTTGAATGTAGGGGAATATGGGAGGAGGGAAGGTGGTAGAAACTATTTCATCACGTTTTGAAATCTTTCATAGGGTTAAGTATTTCCCTCGTTCTCCTATATATCCACCCTCATCAATACAAACTTTGTTCGCTCCCAATTTGGGGTGGAACTGAGCTGAAAGAAATTCCCTTGAGTTCCAATTTCTTCTCTCTCCTGATCTTCCAACTTCTCTTACCACCTTGAAATCCATAACAGGCTATTAAGATATAAATTTTTTTTAACAGTTATATTAGAAGGAGCAAGATTTCATATATATAAGAGAAACTAAATTCTATTTTTTTCGTGTTAGCGACGATGTTAAACCAGTTCGATTAAAATTGGAAGAGTCTACAGCCTCAAGCTTCAGACACCCTAACCAGTCTAAGATGACTTGCCTTTGAAGTTCAATTGCACGAAAACCAATTCAATTCGGGGGTCTTATCGGTTGAGGATTGTTGGGCAGGACTAGAAATTTTTTTTAAGGATTTCAATTTAGGATTGTTATTGGTTTAGAAATGCCTTATTATAGGTTGTTATTTCAATTTATTTCCAGTCATTTTGAAATGCCCAGTTAAAAAATAAAACAATTAATTTCTCGGAAAAGCTTCAGCTTCTCAATTCTAAAGGAAAGAAGGAAAAAAAATAATACATTCACCGTATCTAAATAATAATGCATAGTTGTGTTTTGTATAAAAGCTTAATCCAAGGGAGTGGATGGGTTGCAGTTGATGATTGAGCTTGACCTGAAACTGGCTTAATCAAATTCACACACAAAAGTATAAAAAGGGCGAGCATTATAGCCGGTCCTTCCAAGGGTAAAGTTCCAAAAATTAAAAAAGAAGTGGGGGGAAAAAGAGTTGATGAAATTGAAGCTTTTTTTTTTCGTTTAATAGCAAATTGAAGCTATTTGTGAAGCTTCAACTTTACCCAATTCAGTGACCCTACGGCTTCAGTTCTACTTAACGGGGCACGCTTTCAAGACGAGGAATAGCACTTGCTTCAAGCATCCCTTGAAAGACAAGCAGCTTCCGCTAAGGGGTTGTTTGGTTGTTGTTGGTAAAGTTATGTATTTATGACACAACTTGGAAAGTTGTTTGTTTTTTATTCCATTGGAATCATAAATTGCTTGTTTGGTTTGTAAATGTAACTTTAATTGTTTGTTTAGAAAGTGTAAAAAGTGGTCCCTATTCAAATGATCATATTGGTTGGAATTATTTTTTATTATTTTTTCCTGACTTCAATGTCAGCTTTCTCCTAAAATCATGTATTTTTTTTTATGAAATCACTTTACAAGCCACATCAGCATATGAAATCACTTTACACTATTTTCACAACTACAAACAAACAATTGAAAGTGATGAAAGCTGACATTGGGACCTATTTTTTTACACTTTCCATCCTTTTACATGGTAAAAACATACAGCCAAACAGCCCCTAACGCTCAATCTGCTACTGTCTTACGCTAGCTACTAGGGGAAAGCCATAGGATTGAAAGCCGACTGGACAAGTTCCAAGGCTGGAATAGATGTTCACAAATAGTAAAACTATTGTTTGGAAATAACATATTCTCTATTTATAGTGTAGATCACCTCACTCCTATAAAGATGGTTCTGATAAAATTCCTATTGTGTTTTCAACGAAACTAATTAAAAATGGCACTTAAATACCATAAAATTTCCTCAATGAGGCACATAAATACCACAAGTTGTAAAAGGCAGCACAAAACTACCATAAATTGTCCACAGTTAAAAAATAGTTCACATAGTTAATTTTTGGGCGATGTGGTGAAAATGCCCCTCATCTTACTTTATTACCCTCGACGGTTAAAGATGATGAAAAAAAATCCCAAACCTCTCTCATTTTTACGTAACTTGATAAAATTACCATGCCCTAGATTTGGATCTTGGATCTCGACCAAGGATCAAGAAGAAATCTCACTCTGGGATCTTAAACAAGGTGGTTCGCGACTAAGATTGGAGATTCATAGTAGATTTTATATTGGATCGAGGTACTTTAAGGTAATGTTACTTATAAATTTGATCACTAGTTAGTTCTCTTTTTTTTTTTTTGCAAATTTAGGTTGTGCTTTGGGATTGTGGTACAAAGATGGTATGTTTTGGTCAATGGGAGTTTGATTTGTTTTTTATATGTTGCTTTACAGTTTGAATTTTGAAACTATTCAATTTTTAAAGTTTTTGAAAGATGAATTCGTCACTATTTTGGGGTAGTGATGCGTGATTCTTATGACTTTGAGGACTAAAGTTGTGATACGTTATAGGAGTAGGAGAGTTTAATATGTTTCCCTAGGTTAAAGTAGTGTTGTGTGTGTGGTGGTGGGGGGGGGGGGGGGGTTCAAAAATTATATAATCTTGATAAAAGAGAATTGTCTAGACCGCTTGGAGAGGGTTATTAGAGATTTGGGGTACACTACAGAGTTGATGATATTTGTCAAAGATCCCCATAGTACTCTTGATAGAGGGCTTAGACTTGTATATGATGAAATAACCCCACCCCTGCTGATTTATTGACCGGTTCAAATTACATGGAATTGTATGTTGAACATAGGAAGGAGAGGCTGGATAGCCTTGACCTTGATTCTGAGGATGGTAAGATTCAAAATGCAACCCAAGAGAATGCATGTGTTACCCTAAGCTCCTATACAAGACACTCAAGGTGACTTACCACATGCGAAAGAGAAAAGAAAAGAAAAGTTGAATGAGAGTGGTAAAGACAATGCATCTACTGAGGAGACTACCATGATAGTGACTATGTGTCCTTTGGGGACTCAGAAGACAATGATGATGATGATGATGAGGACTAGGAAGGATTAGTCTGTGAATATTATGAGGATGAAGAAAATGAGGGAGATAATATAGTAGTGAATCATGACGTTAACACCATTAGTGGGAAAGATGCAAGTCCCTATAATGGAAAGTTGGAAACAAAATTCAGATTTAGAGTGTCGTGATGAGTTGAGAAGCTTTCCGTCTGATAATGATGATGAAAATACCAATAAAATCAAGTGATCTCAGTTTAGTGCAGAGAAAGATTTGATTAATCCTAAGTTTGTGAATGAGATGGAATTTGCTAACCCTAATGAGTTCAGAAACCTTCTTAGATAGCAACTGTGATAAAGGGTTTTGATGTGTGTTGTAAGAAGAATGAGGGTGGTAGAATTATAGTGGCATGCAAAGATGAAACATGTCTATGGAGGGGCTACGGAGCATGGAATTAAACTGGCACAAAATGACAGATTAAATCCCTACATGATGCTGATTGTTTAAGAGTTCTTCAAAATTCTCAAGCCACTTCTACTTGGCTTGCAAATGTGTATGTGATGCTGATTAGTGACAATCCTAATTGGAAACTTGATTCACTAAAGAAAACTATTAAAAGATAGTTTGATTTGGAATTAAATGATTATAAAGTTTATAGAACAATAAAAAAACACGAGAAATTATAGAGGGAAGCTATAAATTACAGTACAATCTTTTTTGGGATTATGCCAACATGCCATCAAAAAAGAATCTTAACAATGTAGTGAGGGTGAAGACCACAAGGAGGCAACTTAGTGATCCTAACAGATTCTTTGGCTTCTTTGTTGCTTATAAGGCATGCATCGACGGTTTCAGATTTGGTTGTAGGCCAGTCATTGGGTTGGATGGTTGCCTCTTAAAGGGGCCTTTTGGTGGTGTACTTTTGTCAGCTGTTAGCAGGGATGGTAACAACCAGATGTTCCCTCTAGCAATGGTTGTGGTTCAAAATGAATGTGATGACACATGGACATAGTTTGTGGAGACTCTATTTGAGGCTATTGGTGATCAAAATCAAAATGGATGTATTTATGTCAGTGATAGGCAAAAGGTGAGTATGCATGTTAATTTATTTGTTATTTCGGCTTATGCAAATTTTCTTTTATGCACTAGTAACAATTATTTTGTACTAATATTATGATTTATTTTATTAATGTATGCAGGGGTTATTGGAGACATTTAAAAATTTGGTTCCTCAAGCTAGACACAAATTTTGTGTTAGGCATTTAAATGCGAATTTCAGAGAAAATTCAAAGGGCAAGAGTTAAGGAATCTACTTTGGAATGCTGCAAGAGAATATACAGTGCGTGAACATGAGACTGCCATGGAGAGTATGATTAAATTGAATAAGGAGGCATATGAATACTTGAACAAGCTTGACAAAGAAACTTGGACAATATCACATGTCCTAATAGATGTAAAGTGTGATTTAATATGCAACAGTATTTGTGAAGCCTTCAATAAATTCATATTGGAGGCAATGGATAAACCAATAATCACCATGTTTGAAAGGATTAGAAGCTTGACTCAATCTAGGTTTCTAAAGAAGAAGGCAATGACATCAAATTGGTCAGAAAGGTGTTTGGCAAATAGACTTGAATTAGGTGATAGATTATCAAGGGAGAATAATTCTGCACAGTAGATGGGGGAAGTGAATATGAAGTGGGGAATGGTTTGGGTTATATAACTGTGAATCTAGAGAAGAAATTATGTGATTGTAGAAAGCGGGATTTATGTGGGCTGCCTTGTATTATTTATGCATACCAATGCTTGAAGCATGTGAGAATCAAAACCTATGATATAGTAGATGATTATCTATATGGCTACTTACGTAGAAAATATATCTCTACTTTCTGATTCAAGATTCTGGGAGAAGACTGGACCTAGTTATACACCCTGAATTAAGGAAAAGGCTGGTAGACCAAAAAAGAATAGAAGAAAAGCTACACCTGAGCTTAAAAATCAAGATCAAGTTAGGTGTTTTGGTCAAGTCAACACATGTTCAAAGTGTAAGAAAACTGGACATAATGTAAAGTGTTGTACTAATGAGAGAGTAGAGATAACAAGACCAAAAAAAGAAGAGGGGAAGACCATCAAAAAAAGCTAATACCCTAAGTTCAACTACTCAAGAAACAACTCAAACACAAGGATTTGGAGTTGAAAGTGGTCAGATGCATGATGATACAACAAGAAGTGCACAAGAAACTAGGCAAAAGTGTGGAAACATAAGACCAATGCAAACAAGAAGAGCTTCGGGTAGAAACACTTAAACTTGATTTCTTGTTAAACCTATAATTATTATGGTTGAGTTTAATGAAATATTGCTTTTAGTTGAGGATAATGTACCTAGTCCTCCTCCACAACCTTCAGTGCCACAACCACATGATCCTCCTAGTCAATCTTCAGTGTCACAATCACATGCATTAGGTATGTATTTTTGGCAATACGTAGAAGCACATGTGCCTGAATATATCCATAAATTGTTATGATCTTTATTGCCTTAGTTTACATAGGTGATACACATGCACAAGTAGGTTATGGAGGTGAAAATAGAATAGCTACACATGCACATGTATCAATATCAGGTATGTACACGAATAAGAGCTTTATACTAAGTGTTATATAAATGTATAAGGATTTTATGTGCATTTTTATACAGGACAAGTAATAAAATCTAAGAAAGAAAATGACAATAAGAAAAAAGAAGCTAAAAGTTGTACCTTCAAGGTATATGGGAATATCCAACTAACAGGTTAGTTCTTTACTAAATACGCTTTTCTCCTAGTTTGTTGCTTTACTTAATTTTGATCAAAATTTATTATATGCACTAACAAGCTACTAGTACTCCAACAGCTGCCCAACAACAATCTGGAAGCTTTATCATGGGGCCAAGTGTAATTGCACGAGGATGGTTTAGCGGTAGGGGATTTTTGGGCAAAGAGACAATGTATATGTCAGGTAATAGGTGAATTCCAAGGTACTCATCACGACAAGCTCCACCCACAAAAGTTGCTCAAACTTTTCAAGTAGTTCAAGTTCTAGTGCCACAAGCTGCTCCATTTCCTCTATCACAAGTTGTTCAAGTTTCCTCACTACAAGCTACTCCATTTCCTCCATCACAAGCTGTTTAAATTCTATTACCACAAGCTGCACCAACTCCTCTGCTTGTTCTTGTTAAACTAGAGCACTGGAAGAAATGTCCAATCAGAAAGCAACCAATTTCAAGACCTTGCTTGTAGCAAGAAACTCACAGCTCAACTGAAACAACTCATAGATTTGAGGCACTAACTGGAAAAAAAACACTTCAACCCAAAAGATGAGCAACTAGCTACTGTTGACATGGCAAGAAAGAGAGATATTGGAGTATTATCTTGTTATTTTGTAACTATTTTTGTAGATGGATGAGTTTTGGTAAATGTTGTATGTAATTTCAGCTTTTTTTTTGTGTGCTCATGGTGGCTCATGGTGTATGATGTATGTAAATGAATGGCATGAGATGTATGATGAACCTAACATTGACATATCTTGGTAAACCGTGCAACATAATTAGCTTATGTTTAATATGTATCTTGGTGTTTAATTATGTATTTTGTTGTTCAGATGATCTACAATAGTTTGTATATACATACTCGTGTGATTTGGTAAACTATGCAATACAATGAATTAAGGAATATGATTATGTGCATATTCATGTGATTTGTTGATACTTACCAATTGTATATATATTAGCATGTTGATACGCACCATGACACTACAATAGTTTGTATATACATACCCAGGACAAGTGATAACATAACAATTAAAACTCATTTTCTTAAGAAATAACTTGCATTAAAACAACAAATATCATACATAATACAACTTCCTTTGTACAAAACACAAGCATAATCTAAAACATAATCTAACTCCATTAAATCTCAAATACACATAATTTCTTTGACATTTGAGTGCAAAAAAATAAAAAAAATTACAACAAATATCATAAACACAAGCTTCTGAATTATGCCGTTGCCAAGTAGTTTTCCCTTAACATCTTCTTCTATCTTTCTCAAATGAGCCTCTAATCTCAAAATTTCTCTTTCTCTATCTCTAATAATGCTTTCATTAGCATCTAATTTCTTCTCTCTCCTTCAAATTCATCTTCTTCTCTCTCAATTTAGATTCCAAAATCCTCAATTTCTCTTGGTCAACATTATCCACCTCTTTCTTTCATAGATCTTTTTTAAATAACATCTTTCTAATCACCATGCATTTGAGCTAGGGGTGGCAAATTATGACCCGACCCATCAACCCGACCCGACCCGACCCGTTTATAATGGGTATGGGTTGAGTTACATGGGTCGGGTCATAAACGGGTCAACCCGATTTTACCCATTTATTAGATGGGTAAAATCGGGTTGAACCGTCTGACCCATATAAGAAAAATCCTGACCCGTTTAACAACCCGATTATCTAAACCCGTCACGAAGAGAAATTGGACCACGCCGTCACAAAAGAGAACCCTAGATCCCATCACGAAGAGAACCCTAGATCCAATCGGCGAGCGGCCCTATATCCCATCACGAAGCTCGAGCGGTGAGCGGCTAACGGCGGGAGGCAAGCGGCGATCGGCGATTTTGAGGTATACTGGATTTTGAGCAAAGTTCCTCCTCCCTCTCTCCGATCGAGCCATAGTTCCTCCTCCCTCTCTCCGATCGAGCAAAGTTCCTCTTGGTCACTGGATTTTGAGGTATACTCTTAGCTAGTGCTTTTTGATCTTGCCTTCTACCAATTTTGGGTTTTTTTTCAACCTGTCTTCTTTCAATTTTGGGAATTTCTTGTCTTCAGTTAAATTGGAATTTTGGCAGATCTTAAATAATCAGAATGCTTAAGTACCATTTACACGACCTTGATTGTTTATATTGGAATGCTTAAGCACCATTTACACGACCTTGATTGTTTATATTGGAATTTTGGCAGATCTTTAATAATCAGATGATGTAGATTGTGTAGTAAAGTTTTAACGTATGCAAACAAGCTTACATTTTGAACCAGACAAGATGATAACATCTAAGCAATCACTTAATATGTGTTATCTGTTAATTCTGTTTAGAATCAGTTAATATGTGTTATCTGTTGAATTTTATTTAATTTTATGAATCTTATGTAGTTCTGTAATTTTCATCACAGTTAATGGAGTCTAATTCTACCCATAATTCTATAGCGGATAATGTAGAAGCGGATTCATCTAATGAAGAATTAGAAGAGATGTCTAGTCCTGTTCAGAAAAAATCCAAAGCGATAATTGTTGGAAGTCGAAAAAGAAAATTAACGTCCAAAGCTTGGAAAATGTTTGACCTTGTTCAAGAGCCAGATGGGAAACAATATTCAATATGTAAGAAGTGTGGAATCAAATATATTGCCGAAGGTAACCATGGGACAAAGAACATGTTAAGACACATGAAAAATTGTAAGAAAGCTACTAGAGAGGATATTGAAGGTCTATCTAACTCAAAAGATTCTATAATGAGTTCCTCGAGATTTAATTTTGACCCGGATAAGTTTAGGGAACTCTTGGTCTCGGCCATCATTATGCACGATTTGCCATTTCAATTTGTTGAGTATGAAGGTATTCGAGCAATATTCTCTTATCTTTGTGAGGATATAAAACACATATCAAGAAATACGGTTAAAGCCGATGTTCTTAAAATCTATGGAAGAGAGAAAAATAGGCTAAAAGAAGCTTTTGAATCGATTCCGGGTAGAATTAACTTGACTTCCGATTTGTGGACATCAATAGCCACCGACGGATATATTTGTCTCACGGCACACTACATTGATCATGAGTGGAAATTACAAAATCGTGTTCTTAACTTTTCCTATATGCCACCTCCTCATTCCGGTGTTGCCATTTGTGAGAAGATCTATAAGTTGTTAGTTGATTGGAAAATTGAAAAGAAGTTGTTTTCTTTCACTCTTGATAATGCCTCCGCAAATGATGTTTTTGTTGATTTATTGAAAAAACAACTTAATTTGAAAGAAGCACTTCTTGGGAAGGGAGAATTTTTTCATATTAGATGTTGTACTCATATCCTCAACTTGATTGTCCAAGATGGTTTAAAAGAAGTCCATGGTTGTATTGATAAAATTCGAGAAAGCGTCAAGTATATAAAAGGCTCTCAAATTAGAAAACAAAAATTTTGGGAATGTGTCTCTCATGAATCTTTGGAAGTGAAGAAGAGTTTAAGGCAAGATGTTCCAACAAGATGGAATGCTACTTTTCTAATGCTTGAGAGTGCTTTATACTATCGTCGTGCATTTATACACATGCAATTGAGTGATTCCAACTACTCAAGACTTTGTCCATCTCAAGAAGAATGGGATAAGGCCGAGAAGGTTAAGAGGTTATTAGCCACTTTCTATAACGTCACTTGTCTTTTCTCCGGTACAAATTATCCAACGGCTAATCTCTACTTTCTTCAAGTATTTGTTGTGCAACGTACTTTAAAGAGTGGGATGAAAGATGATGATGAATATGTTAAGTTAATAGCAACCAAAATGTACAAGAAATTTGAAAAATATTGGAGTGAGTACAATGTTCTACTTGCTATTGCGTGCATCTTGGATCCCCGATACAAAATGCAATTTGTAGAGTTTTGCTATCATGGGCTATATGGACACAATTCTACGGAGCTTAAGAATGTGAAAGACAAGCTTTTCTCTCTCTTTAATGAGTACTCGAGCAATACGGATGGTGATAGAAGAAGGAACTTGGAGAAATCAAGAAAGGAGGGAACTTCTCGTGTGTATGATGACACATGCATTTGATCAAGATTGCATTGATATCTTGAGGGTAATTTCTTTCTCAAGCAATTAGTTTATCTCTTAGTTTTTATTGTTTTTGCATGTATTTATATCTTGTATGTGTATAATTTCTTGCAACTTCCACATTGTAACGTAAATCATGCTCTTTAGATTTGTATTTTGCTTGTCTAAGTGTGCACAAGTTCCCAGACAGATTCTCAAGTAAACGGCTAGAAGCTGGTCGTTTGGTTATGGTAGGATACTACATCTTTTGTAAATTACAACTGGATTTACAAGTGATAAATTTCTGTAAACACAAGAGTTCCTTTTTTTTTTGCCCCTCATTAATTCTAGAAAAGATTAGTTCTTATTTTAATTGGTGGGGAAGAAAAATATTGTTACAAAGGTTCGTGAATAGGATGATATCCTTTGGTAATTGGGTGGGAATTGTGGGTATTATGGTACGTAGCAACAATGATGATGATTGATTAGCTCTTTGGGAATATTCACTCTCTGGAGTCAGTAGGCGAGTATTATCTGTTATGCACGCGCGTGTGATTTCAATACAATCTATAGGCTTTGTAGAAAACTGGAAAATTACAGAAATATTAAATCTTTATTATTTTGGAATATATATAACAGAATGCGATATATTTTGGAATCTTTCTATTTGTGAATGTTATTTTCATTCTCTGTAGAAGTAGATAAACTATATGTTTCATATTTTTTTACTGTTGCAAGTGTGTGACTTCAAATTGTTGGAAATCAATGGAAATGTGTAAACAAGTTGTTCCAAGTCATGGTTCTCTATAGACCAGTGTTTGACTTACAAGTATCTCATACAAATAAGAGGTAACCTTTTTTCTTCCTTGCCTATATTTGACCCAGATGTATTGTTTTACCATGCAGTTAGAAATTCCTTTGTATCCAAATCCTTATGCTACTATATTATTTATGTAGACAGAAAATTCTCTTCTTTAATTGGTGATTGATCTATATATTACAATGACTGTACTGATGTGAAATTGATAGTATAACAGGACAATATATCTTTCTCCTTATGTGATTTTTAATGAACATTGTGTTTTTCAATGATATACTAATGATATTTATTCTCTCATATATTTTTTATATTTAGGAATTCGACTCGTTTGAAAGCCAAGAAATTATTAGTTCTCAAAAAACCCAATTAGAAATTTATTTGGATGAACCAAGACTTGACCTTGGTGCTCCACTCGACATTCTTTCATTTTGGAAGACTAATGAGCATAGATACCCCGAGCTCTCTCTATTGGCAAGGGACATAATGGCGGTTCCTATTTCTACGGTTGCTTCGGAGAGTACTTTCAGTGTAGGTGGGAGAATCCTTAACCAATACCGTAGCACTCTTAAGCCTAACAATGTGGAGGTTTTAGTTTGCACGCGTGATTGGTTATATGGTATCAAAGGTAGACAAATACTAATGTTATATTTTTTACATTTTTTTGAATCAGAATACATGTTATGAATTTGCTTATTGGTTTTTTTTATTTTTTTATTAATGATAGATGACATGCAACCAAAATTAGATGAGCTTTCCGAGGATATCATGCAATTAGATATTGGAGAATGTATGCCAACACAAGTATGAATCTCTCATACTGTGATGCGGTAGCTGAAGGTAAGAACTTGTTTCACTAAATTTAACAGTTTAGTTACCAAATTGATGTCTCATCCAAGAAGTTCACACTTCTCTCATTTTACAATAGACATGCATCTGAGTAGTTAAGAGCCTCAAGTTTTGTTTATATACAGGAGCAAGATAGGATTTACAGAATGGTTAGCGTTTCTTCATTGAACAATTGAAACCTCAGTATCAAAATTTAAATCTGTATAAGCATATGGGGAGGCATCAGAGTTATTTTATCTTTCTGTTGAAAGGCTTTCTGTAGATTGTTGTTGATATGTAAGATTCATTGACTTATGCTCCTCCGTTGCATTACGCATTGTGAGCACACTTCTGATCAAATTAAATAATCGATGCCTTTGTTGCTACTTGAATTCTGGGTATGTTCTAGGTTTTTGCACATCCTTCTGTTTGTTTTCAAGGGTTTCGGTAATTAAATCCTCGCTCGTGCTCTCTGCTTAATTTATAGTGTTTCCCAGATAAAATACGTGAAACTTTTTTTTCTTATCTCGGTACAATGTTTTTCCAAGAAACCTCCTCACCTGAAAAGTTCGGAAAAATCCCTGTTTGTCATAGTAAATAAAACCATGCATGAAGTTAACCTGTTGCTTCTGTTAGTGTTCTTCAGCTACTGAATCAACTGTTAGTGTTCTTCAGCTACTGAATCAACTGCTCATGATGAAAAGATTTCAGTTAACCTGTTGCTTCTGTTAGTGTTCTTCAGCTACTGTTAGTGTTCTTCAGCTACTTAATCAACTGCTTCTGTTAGTGTTCTTCAGCTACTGAATCAACTGCTTCTGTTAGTGTTCTTCAGCTACTGAATCAACTGCTCATGATGAATTTGCAGTAAAAGGTAACCTGTTGCTTCTGTTAGTGTTCTTCAGCTACTGAATCAACTGCTCATGATGAAAAGATTTCTGTTTTGTCCTCCATTGGCTCAAGAGTACAGAGCTTCAATCTGGAAGCGCAGTCGAATGTCGATGGAAGGTCCGAGGATAGGTGTGGCTGCTGCAATAAGAAAGTCGGTTTGGCTAAATTAGGATTCAAGTGTCGCTGTGTGTATACGTACTGCTCGAAGCATTGATACCCAGAGGAGCATGACTGCAACTTTGATTTTAAGGCTGTTGCGAGAGATTTGCTAGTGAAGAAGAACCCTGTTGTTCAGGCTGACAAATTGGAGAGGATATGATTGATTACATCCCCCCTAACACTATAAAAAAAGTTCCTAACTATTTTGTTGTAAACTTGTGTATATTCTCTTTATTTACTTGTGTTAAATTCTTTGTTGCTAGTTCTTAGTTTAGATTATTCTGTGTCTAAAGAGCTGCATTGATGTATTTTGTTTGTCGATATTTGCAATTCGTTGAAGTACATTTAAATACTGAATATGTCTTTGAAATAACTTCATGTTGTATGTAGTGATATGTCTTGTATTTGATAAATGGGTCATTCGGGTTATATGGGTCGGGTCGGGTAACCCACTTAATAATCGGGTCGGGTCACATTGACCAATTTATTAAACGGGTCGGGTTATACTTATATGGGTCGGGTCAAATTTTATATGGGTCGGGTCGGGTCGGGTCGACCCGTTTGCCACCCCTAATTTGAGCCTGGGGAGGGAAGGGCTTGTCTTTCCACTCAAAAATTTACATTTTGATGTCGTACGATACTTAGGATAGCTAAAAAACGTCTCCCATAGTTCTCCACCGTTCATGCCGTCCATAGTTAAAATTGCCTTGCAATAAATAGTAAACCATGATCTCATTCTCTCCATCCAAACTATAGCTTGAAGTAGAACTTAAAACCCTAGAGCACGATTTCATAGTTCCTGCAAAGAGCTCAGAATGAGAAAGTTAATTTGGAAATTAGGGTTAGATTTAATGAGAAAAGTTTATAAAAAGAGGAGGTGTCGGTAGAAATAGTAAATAAGGCAATCAATGAGGTCAACAAATAATTGAGTATATCACGTGAGAGTCACATAGGAATATTCTTTAGAATATTCCACATTTGACTAACGGATGGTAGTAATGTGCCAATATTTTGAAACATATGGTATTTTTGTGCTACCTTTTACAACTTGTGGTACTTAAGTGCCACATTGAGGTAACTGTATGGTATTTTAAGTGCCATTTAGCCTATGAATTATAGTATTTTAGATTTTTAAAAATTCAAAACTATTGTTTGAAAACTACAACTCCTATATTTGTAGTGTAGTTAGATCACCTCATTCGTATAAGGACGGTTCTGATAAGATTCCTAATGTGTTTTTAACGAAACTAATTAATATGAATCGTAGTATTTTAGATAAATAAAAAAGTAACTTCAAATAAAATTTCAAGCTAGCTTCTTAAAAGTTAGTCTTATCTTAAGATAGCAAATAATAACTACCTCACCTTTGTGAGTTAACAATGGTGTTCAACTAATTCTTCTAACCAACACGAAAATGAAAGGTATCGGAATTTTTGGATGCATTATTTTTGGGACAGAGATCCTATCCCATTTCATTTTGTGGGCCATGCCATACCAAATTATAACATTCGGGCCCTACAAAATTATAAAGGAAATAATTTTGCAAATTGCTTGTAACCAAACATACTACTTTTAGGGCGCACATATTTAAATATCCCAACAAGGGGGGCCTTACGCAGAGTTAATAACAAATTAGCAAAATTACTAGCAAATCCCATAGAAAGAAGGAATTCAAAAAAAATCCAAACTCAGCAGTGACGACTCTACTCGCTAGGCTCCTCTTTCACCGCCAATTGCCGGTCGTCGGAGCACCGGCTCAAGGTTACCGGTTCATTATCTCCGGTCCTTTCAATTGTCGGCGAGATTTATAAAATATTCTGTCTCAATTTTTTTCAATCGCTGTCGCATTCTTTTTTTCTCTTTTTATTTTCCCCTTCACTTTATCTCCTGGATAATCTCAGAAAAGGTACCGATTTCATTTTCTCATTTGTAATTTTCTCCTTAAAATCAATTTTTTTGTTTGCTTGCTGTATTCTTTTTAAATCGATTTGACTTAGGGTTTAAGCCTCATCTTGAAATTTATATTTTCTTCCCAACTTTTTCTAAGGTATATCTTGTAGATTTGCGTGATTTCGGGCTTATATATCGCAATGTGGGAATAGAATAAGTAGATTTCGTTGGGATAACCTTTTTGTGAGACATCTTGAACCCTAGTTTTGGAATATACTGCATTTGCTATGATTTTCTAAAATTATCTGTATTTTTTCTTGAAGTATTCGTTGATTGATTCTGTTAGTTACTTGTAAAGCTAAGTTTCCAGAAGATATATAGAATCTAACCGCTTCCTGTTATTTTAAGTTGATTGCAGTTGTGCTATTTGTCCAAGCGAGGATTGGAGAGTAAGTTGCTTGTTTGTACATGAACTAAGATTCAAAATGATTGGATCTTTTCTTACGAGAGCTCTGGCGTAAGTAATCTGGGCCTTAATTAGTTAGGTCAATGTGCAACCTTTGGAAACATTCCTTAGGTTGATCTTTAAGGCGGAGAAATTCATGAATTTTTACTTTCTTGGGTTTGGAAATTGTAGATTGGTTCTTGGCTATGCTTATCCGGCCTACGAATGCTTCAAAACTGTTGAATTGAACAAACCGGAGATTGAGCAGTTGCGATTTTGGTGTCAGTATTGGTAGGCTTTGTAGCTGTTTCATCGAACATATAATTGTGTTTTGGGTGTGCAAAAATGCTACTTATCAGCTTATCTTTCTCCCCCTTTTTGTAGGATTTTAGTTGCTGCACTGACAGTCTTCGAGAGAGTAGGAGAGAGTTTTATTTCATGGTAGGTTTTATCTTTAAATTTATGTGTGCGCTACAAATTTCAAATTGTGTCATGATTTGACCTTTTCTTTTGAAGGTTGCCAATGTATAGTGAAGCAAAGGTAGCATTTTTTGTATATCTTTGGTATCCTAAGACAAGGGTATGTTATCTTCTCTCTAGTAATTATACAGTATTTATTAGTTATGTATCTCCTTTTTGACTTTAAAACGAACAATGACAGGGAACAGCTTATGTCTATGAAACCTTCTTCCGACCATATGTTTCAAAGCATGAGACTGAGATTGATCGTAACTTACTTGAATTGAGAACAAGGGCCGGAGACATGGTCGTTCTTTACTCGCAGAGAATCGCTAGCTATGGGCAAACAAGATTTTTTGAAATCTTACAATATGTTGCCTCCCAGTCGCCATCACAGTCAACAAGACCCCGCCCCGCTCAGGTACTAATTTACCGAGATAAGAGGTCTTTCTTACTGTCTATTTGATGCATCCACATTGTATCAGTGAGCACTATGCTTTATCTTTCTTTCTTTCTATTTTTTCCCCTTGAGACAATGAATATAGGTTAATATATTTCTCCGCTAGAGATTATGACGCACAAATGGTGAATTGGTGCATGAGTTAGAGCTACAATCTTTATATGTCACCCTTATGACCTTTCACTGCGAGTGGGACAACACCCATGAAACAATTGATTTACATTAAATGATGCAGGGTGAACTTGGCGCTTGTTTTTTATGGTAGATCTTTTCAAAGATCTGTAGGGAATATTGGATTCTTTTCTGTGTCATTGTCTTGCACTTTGCAAGAGTTTCACATAACGTCCAATGATTGGGTTGATTTGATAAATTATGATTGAAGTGTGGACAGCGGTATATGGTCTGCAAAAGAAATGCCAGAAACTTTGAAGTTTAAACATAAAAGTACCAAAGATTCTGCTATAACTTTGCTAGCTCCCTTGGATTTGCATTTTTAAATTAAATCCAAAATAAAATTTGAATGATATGGCGATCCAGAATTTGGGAATGTTATTTGTTAAATTTTGTGTGTGCGTGCGCGCATGTGCGCCTGTGATCTCAAATTTTCTTTCTGATTCGAAGTTCCTACATCAAGATATTGCTATGATGTCTTGTATCTTGTTGTGTGGATGAACATTCATTTGACTTTTCCATCTATTTTCTTTCCCAATGTTACTCTCTCAACTTTCTTATTTTGTTATTAGTCTACTATACGTAGTTGTTTTCCTAGGACGTCTCAATTCCTTCAAGTTATTTCAAGGACTCTTAAGTTACTTTTAACTTTTGATAAAAGAATCACCCCTAACTAATAGCCTCCATCTTAAGATCTCATCCTTCACCATCTAGCAGTTCCAATGAATATAAATCTACTTGCATAGCTAACAAAATCCATGGAGAAGAGTACCCATCATATCTAAGTGCTCTAACCCTTTCTTTTCAGCATGAGTCCAAAAGCATAGTATCCTGCCTCATGTAGCTAGGGCATGTTTCTCTTTGACCATCCTGCATAAGCCTTGTACCAATGCTATAGTTAATTTCTCACAAATTTCTAAAATGCTCTTCATTGAATAAATAGAATTAAAAGGGTGCTAACAGACTAAACTAACATTAAAATGAATAGATTAATTAATTAATTTTGAGAGGGAATGGTAAAATAACTTTTTCCATTTTATTTATATGAGTACAATGTATTTCTTTCCTAATTTACTTATATCGAGCATAATTTAATTGAAGTAATTAATCTATAATTCTGGAAATTAGTAGAATGTCACTTTGCCAGCAAAAAATATTGTGGGTTCATATCTACTTCCTCTAATTACACCTAGCAACATGCAAGTACCATGTTTTAATATATTGCTGGCATGAATGAAACAGGTAGATAATACATTTGTGCCACCAAACATATCTATCTGTTTGTTTGAGCATGGAGTATGTCATTTATGTTGGAGCGTCCGGTGAGTGTTGGATAGAATAGCAAATTTGACCATTAGATGTTGGGGGTATCGTACAGAGTTTTAGATCCCCCCCACCCCCCACCCCCCACAAGCACACACATGCGCGCGCGCGAAAACACCCCATCCAAAAAAAAAAAAACAATTGATAAAATATTTCCCCAATTTATACCTCACATGGCCTCATGCATGAAATCTAGTGCATTTTACAGTGGGGACATAGAAGAAATTACTTGACTGGTTAACTTTGGGTTTGATTAAAAATTATTAAGCTCGTCTTAGGTCTCATTTTATGCATTATTGCTTGATCTAGTTTTCAACAAAAATGTTGGAGGTACTGCTTAAGGTGAATTACAACATGACATGAAAGCATTACTTGTTCATGTATCTATATTACTAATGGACAATCCCCCCCCCCCCCCACCCCCCACAAGCACACACATGCGCGCGCGCGAAAACACCCCATCCAAAAAAAAAAAAACAATTGATAAAATATTTCCCCAATTTATACCTCACATGGCCTCATGCATGAAATCTAGTGCATTTTACAGTGGGGACATAGAAGAAATTACTTGACTGGTTAACTTTGGGTTTGATTAAAAATTATTAAGCTCGTCTTAGGTCTCATTTTATGCATTATTGCTTGATCTAGTTTTCAACAAAAATGTTGGAGGTACTGCTTAAGGTGAATTACAACATGACATGAAAGCATTACTTGTTCATGTATCTATATTACTAATGGACATGGATATATCCCTGTTGTCCATGTTTATTAAGTTATGAGCAGTGATTCAGATTAACATCTCAATAATATATGTATCTGTACAGGTTCCAAAACTTTAAACTAGTGTATTTTCAGATTAGTGCCTCAACAGTTTTTTGGTTTATAGGAGTCAGTTCCTTTCATTTTCCTCAAGATCATTACATTCTTCTTGTATGACGTGTCCCCAACTTCCCATATCGAGGATTTTCTATTTTGAATCATCACTTAGCAAATGTTTGATGTTCTCTCAAGATTGCATCATCTTGTGTAATAAAGTTGTAGACAATCTTATTGTTCCTCTGGCACTGTATTGGGTTCCTTAGGGTTTTGCTTATGCTATAATCTCCTCTAGTATGTAGAGATGAATATCTACCTTAGCAACACCCTCTGCTTGTAGACTTTCTCAAACTGCATTTATGCAGTTAAATCTGACATGTATTCATGCTTATGCCTCTGTTAGAAAAACTACTTCACTATTCAAAAGATTTTTTTTATAAAATGCTCCTACTGGATATCTTTCTTTCATCCTCAGTTATACAGCTCTCCATCTCTTCTATCTTTTTTGCAAATCACAGCACCTTCTCTTTTTTTATATATATTCAAGCAGTAATGATTTTAGTTCCTTGCTACCCGCTACATTGTAGAGAGCTTTAGCCAACTAATTACTTGCCAAAATCTCATTTTTTAGGAGCCTGCCTGCTTAACTTGGGTCTTTGCTCACCCATGGAAAAAACTGCAGAAACCTGTAAGGTCAATCTTATTTAACTTGAGGCTTGAGTAGGGGTGCACAACGAGGAAATATCCATATATGTATCCGTTTGGATGCGGATATGGTGAAATATCCGGATCCGTATCCGAAATATCTGAATCTGTATCTGAAATATCCGATATATGTTGGTCATACAATTGTAACAGTTTTAATCCTTAGATTAATGAATTTGAGGTTAATTTTGATGATCAACATATCTAATCATCGCTTTTTCAGATATAACAAACATATTAATGAACACTCTTGTATCATGTGACCTATATTTTTTCAATGTTATCTAGTTTTCTCATATCTGCTTATATCTTTGCATGTATATCCGTATCCATATCCAATTATAGTAGATATGTATATGAATTTTCCTTACCGAGGCAATATTCGTATTTGTGATTAGCAAGTGAATATGAATATGGTAAGTATCATATCCGAGCCATATTTGAATAGTATCCCTACGCTCGAGTCCATGTATATGCTCTGTTGCATATAATGACCTTCCCTGTATGTTAGCAAAAACTTGAGTATATTAATTTTAGTTATGTCTAAGGTTATGTTTTCCCACTTCCTCCCATACAGCTAATCTGTTCTGATGTTTGCTAGTCAAAATTCTTTCCCATGCAATCGTACCCTATGTTATGATTTCCTGCAGATATTTCTTTAATCAAACATAGAATTGCCAAACATGATTTCATTGATATGTACAAGCAGTAAGTAAATCTAGTGAATATTTATGTGGCTCGTAGAGATATGCTTGCTTTTAATGCCAACATTAGTATGACATGATTCCGGAACTGAGGCTATTCACAGTGCCTGATCGGTTTTGGGAGCCAATAAGGTCAGAAATTATGTCACAATTTAAATGTACCTAACTGGAAATTCAGGATCTGCAAATTGAAGACAGTAGATGCATGTTTGCTTGCTAAAAGTGAGGGTCTCGAATGATATTTCATGTCGATTACGTACTCAATGGGCTTTGTAGATCTGCAAATGAAGACAGTGTCTGAAGTGTTGTATCATTTACCAATTAGCATTGTTGTGAAGTTATTATGATGCTAGCTTTGCTGCATCTTCCTCTAATTACTTCTGAACATTATCCATGTGCGACACCTGAAGCAACGTCATATAGTTAATTTCTTTCCATTTGGAGTTGTCTCCTACAATATAATCATGCTCCCTTGTCATTGCACGTTCAGTTGGATTCTAATTCGGTAATATAGTTTAACTTAACCGTATGGACGCAGCTTTGTGTGTAGCAATTCTTTGGAAGTACTACACTCTACTGTCATTCATACACTCCTGAGAAATTTCTCCTTTTTCCATCAATGCAGCAACGTCAGGAACCTCTTCAGCAATCTCAGCAAGTTCGTCCCACAGCACCTACCACAGCCACACGCCAACCAGCAGTATCCCAACAACCTCAGCATCTTACCCGCCAGCCGCCACCTCCTGCTAGTCCCTCAAAGAGCCCTCTACAAGAACCTACAAAGATTGCGGCATCTTCTTCAGCAGTCACCGTTCCTCCTGCTGCTCAGTCCCAGTCCTTAGCCAAAACTGCTAGTCTCCCCAGTTCTTCTGGCCAGCCTCCATCACTAGGGAAAGCTGCTAGCCTCCCGAGTTCTTTAGACACTGTTTCTTCTGCTTCTTCCCCTGACGACGCTGATAAGATGCAAGTTGAAGTGGCTAGTGCGATATTGGATAATAAGCAAAATCCGCCGCCGCCTCAGGAAACGCCAATGGAGGAGGCGATTCGTGTCACTCGTGGGAGGTTGAGAAAGCGAGCCGCCGCGGGTGGTTCTTGAACTCTGGAAGTATGGATTTGCTAAACCGTGAGTCTTGAATCCTTCTTAGCAGAGGGATGAGACAAGTTATTCTGGGTGGGGAATTGTTTTTGTTAGCTTCCTCGATGTGGGTAAATAACTTTGATGTCTGAAGGACATGGAACTGGTAGCTCTTGGTAGCAAGTTTGATGGATGTGATGATGTTATTGTTGTATTGATCCTTCTTACTTCAGGGTAGTTAGGTCGTTCTTTATTGTTATTTGATTTAGGCAGATTGGGCCTTGGAATTAAGTTGATTGGGCTGGGCTTGATCCTACAAAATGAATAGGTTGTAAATTACAAGTCAGCCTAAGTCAGCCTCTGATACCAGGCGGATTCATGTGTGTAATATTTGCATTTATTAGCAGAGTTGAGTATTTAGTACAATTCAGTCTACAAGCAGTCATGTCGGGTGTTGTTACTAGCTTTTTTTTACCAACTAGCTCTAGGCTAAAACATGAGATAATTTGGGAGGTTTGAACTCTCACTTTTGAATAGAGAAATGAAAAAGTTGGGATAATTTTGTACAATTGTCCTAGTTTTAATTTTATTACAGTTCTAATTGACCAACACAATATAAATTTATTCTACTTCTAGTTGACTAATAATGTAAAAATTCACCCCATAAATTATCACAGTTTTATTTTTGAGTTTTACTTGATTAACCTTGTGAGAGACGACGTTTTGATTTTTAATATTTTCCATGTCCTGACAGTACTTGCTAACTACCATAAAGATTATTTATGTACTAAAATAAAATTTACAAAAGTAAAATGTATGATGCACTAACAAAAAATCTTGTGAATGGAATGTCTGAATTGTCATGTTTGATTTGCTAATTAAGAAACACCGGAATATGTTTAATTTTGTTTGATGGACATCTGAATTGAATTTGGATGAATATTTAGACAAATATTCATTGAATAATTAGACAATCGTTTGACAATTAACAACGCAATCGTGCATTTCATATAATTGCCAGCCAATTGCTTTCGGGTACATGCAATGACATTTTCCCGCTATTATTATTAGAGAATATCAACATGAAATCACCAGAATCCATCAAAAATTTGTATATTATTCAACAAAATACATGCCTCAGCTTAGTATACTCGTCAGCAGACAATTCCAGGTTTTGCAAACTATTTGAGTGATTAGTCCTTTATGTTTCTTAATAGTCGTATCTCATTATTTTAATTGTGATTATTTATTAATTGATCTCTTTAATAAGTAGCGGGTTTTATGTCTCTTTGGTTAGTATTTAATGTTTAATCACACTTAGCATGAGGGTTTAAATTTTAATTAATGAGGTCAAGCAACTGTTTATTAATAACGATTGAAATTAAATCAAAGCACATGTAGGCTCGGCAAAATTGTCTGTCCGTCTCTCTCGAATGATTCAGATCGCCCGAAGACTTGACCCTGTTTTCTCATAATAAAAAGTTGTTACACCTACTGCAAATTGCACAGAAATTATTAATCGGTGGACTTGAATCCTATGATGTGTCATCTGACAGGGGGGAAATTAAATAAAATAGGTAAAAAGAAAAGCTATATGTTTTACAATAGTTGGCCATGTGACGACTTGAACACTCCGAAAATTAAGAACCTTGTCAAAATTCCAAGAATTTTCTTTTTATATATCATGTGTTAAAAAGGCATGCACAGATGAAATTTTTTCAAAAGGGGCACGCACAGCCCAGTAAGCTAGTACTAATATTAATGAAAAGGGAGACGCACATCTCATTGGTCCCATATTTTGGATCCTTAAATCATTTTTCTAATAGAAGATATTCAAACAGTCATTTTAATAATCCCGGAGATAAGGAGATCTCCATTTATTCAAAAAAGAGAACATAATGTAAAACGAGGTCACGGAGAATTTCATCTGAAATCCAACAGAATTTAAGGAGCTTGACTGGGATTAGATAACTTCGAAAGGATAATCACGCGTTACATGTACATCTGTGTTTTTTTTTCTTATTAAAACTTTTGTATTAATAAGATAGACCCCCTCCTATTGGATAATGAGTTGGCCATCATTAATGATGGCCAACTCATTATCCAATAGGAGGAGGACACCTCACTTGTCCCCTCTATTGGTCCCATATTTTGGGTCCCTGTAGCAAAGCTCATATATAATTAATAAGAACATTTATGATAATTAAGATATTAATTGAGTGGAATCTAACAAAAAATGATTGATTAAAAACTAAACTTATTTCTAAAGTGGCTTACTGAGGAGATTTTTTTTTTCAAAGATGATTTTTTATTCATTTGATATATTATAAAAGTGGTTTTCATGAAGAAACAATCTAAAAATTATAGTTCCTCATAGTAGAACACATAGATTTAAGTCTTCAACTATTCGTCATTCTATGTTCTCATTTTTTTTCACAGCTAGAACATAAAATACAAACAAAGCTCAAAAGCCCCTCACATATCAAAATTAACACCAAAACCCCTCGCGACCATCTCCCCGCCTACAAAAACCCTTGCTCGTCATAACGCTATATATCAACATAGGGGGGCAAAAAAAAAAAAAAAAAAGAGTTTACTCAACTTTAGCTGGGAAAGGATAACTTTTATTTTCCCTTCTTTCCTCATTTCCCCCCCACCTCAAACCTCAGGATTCTTATCGGGCCGGGTTCGGACCTCAACCAGCAACAACAGTACCCGAAACCCTGACCTCAATCTTCTCAGATTTGGAAGGGCTTTTGGGGTTCTTAGCCTTTTGCTTTTGAGCCATCACGCTTCTCCTCTCGCTCGCCTCGTCCATCTCGATCTGCTCTTGCCTGCACTCCTCGCTGCAGAACGGCGTGTCCCCTCTGCAGATTCCCAAAACACCCTCATCAGCATCCTCACCATTCCCCTAAACTAGAAGGGTAACTTCGTCACAAGGGGGGAAAAAAGCCAAACGCTGTCTGTGATTTCGCGGCCGCTCCGAGGGGGAGCTTGCAGAGGTGGCAGGAGTCGAGGAAGTGGTGGGGCCCGTCTCCGCCGTCGTCGGGGAGGGAGGAGAACCGTGGGAGCGGGCCGGGCCCCACCATTTGTTCCTGCTGCGGGGGAAGGGGAGGGGTTATTTCGGGGAAGGAGACACCGGATTCGCTGTCGGGTAGGAAGTAGAGGACTCGAAGGAGGAGGAAGGGGAGAAGCTGGTGTTGATTTCGGAGTCCATGTCGCGTTTGATTTTGCGAAATCTGAGGAAGCAGAAGGGGAGGGCGAGGGGTTATAAAGGAGCGTACGTGGGAGAATTATTATTATTATTATTTTTTTAAAATCTCTCCCGTTTTTGATGAATTAAAAAAAAAAAAAGGTTTTGAAGCTGGGGGTGCTTTGCTTTCTGGAATCCATGTGCATGAGAATGAATCCCTTTGGCTTTGGGAGTGGGGGCATCATGGTACCTCTTCTTTGGTTCGCTTTTGAGAGACCTTAGCTTGAGTGACAAAAGTTGGCCCTTTTGACACTTGAGCCCATCTCTCTTTTAATTATGACAATGGTAGCTCTTTGGGAATGTGGAGGAGCTCGCATACGAGTAAATGAGGAAATATTGTAATTTTATTTGTTTATTTGACGGATGGTCGGTTCCACATGAAGGAAGCAATTAATCAAATAGAGAATAGAATGTGCGAAAAGGTGCAAGGTAAATCTGGGTTTTGGTGATCCATGCTTGATGTTACAATTCGTATGGCGGATATGAACAGTGTAAGAAAAAGATACCTAGTTTGCGAAAATTTTTTAATCTGTAGATTTACTGACACAGTGTACAGGTAAATCATGAACCATTTAGGTTTCATCATACGGTTCATATTTGTTTATCATGTTTATAGAAATGAGTTCTTAGCTTGAACTATAAATTTTTTTTAAACTCGAACTATAATTTTGCAATTGACACCCCTGCAGGAAACATATGCTAAAACAATTAGCGAGAAGGGTATTTATGATTAATGAGCAAAAGGACAGGTTAAGCAAAAGGTACACATTTCCCAAAAACGACAGTTCAGTGAGTTCATCCCACTTATTACAATACTACCATTTCCTAAAATTAAGAAAAATTTTCAGGCAGGTGTCCCCAGCACCGTACTCGCGTATTTATAACGACAAAAAAAAAAAAACCTGTTCACAGTGAAAATTAATAAATTATGCAGATTCCAATAGAGAACCGCCTAGATCTCTGCCTGCCCCCACACCCGCTCAACCAACGGCCACATGCCCGTTACGTC